GACTCGTCGCGAAAGGGTTTCGGCAGATTCATGGTATAGACTATGATGAAACTTTTTCACCAGTCGTGATGCTTAAATCTATATGGATTCTGCTAGCCATAGTTGCGTATTATGACTACGAGATATGGCAGATGGACGTCAAGACCGCATTCCTTAACGGGAATTTGCTCGAGGATGTGTACATGACACAACCCGAGGGCTTTGTCGATCCTAAGAGTCCGAGGAAGGTATGCAAACTTCAGAGATCCATTTATGGACTGAAGCAGGCTTCGAGGAGCTGGAATCTTCGATTTGACGAGGCAGTCAAAACGTTTGGCTTCCTGCAAAACGAAGATGAGCCATGCGTTTACAAGAAGGTCAGTGGGAGCGCAGTGGTCTTCCTTGTGCTTTATGTAGATGATATATTGCTCATCGGAAATGACATTCCTACCTTGCAAGGAGTAAAATCCTGGCTAGGATCGGTCTTTTCGATGAAAGACTTAGGAGAAGCCGCCTACATTCTAGGCATCAAGATCTATAGAGATAGATCGAGAAGGCTTCTTGGTCTAAGTCAGAGTACATACATTGACAAGGTCTTAAATCGGTTCAAGATGCAAAACTCCAAGACTCAGTGTCCAAAGACACAGGATGAGCAAGAGCGCATGAGTAGCATTCCATATGCCTCGGCAATTGGATCCATCATGTACGCCATGTTGTGTACTCGTCCAGATGTATCATATGCATTGAGCATGACTAGTTGATGAGGACATGGAGCCGGAGCAAGAGCACTTGGATGCGGAGCACACGGAGCAAGAGCACTTGTATGCGGAGCACACGGAGCTAGGAGCGAACATGGATCCCTCGGAGCAATCAACCGAAGACCAGCCCTTGGACATGTCACGTGATCAAGACGTTACACGATCACTTGATCCCGCAAAGCTCGACAACGACCATCACGCGAAGGGTGCCCCACGAGAACTCGAGCACTTCGTCAACTACTATATGGCGTCGTTGATCAAGTCTTGAGCGGGATACGGGACGAAGACGAGGCCGACGCACCCCGACATGGCCTGCATCACGTCTTCACCATCATGGCCGAACCCTACATGCAAAAGGAAGCTTCTTGAGCTGCAAGCAAAGTCCCAACAGCTATATTCTTCCCACCTACCTTATTAAATGCATAGGCTCCTACCCCTCTTGCATGTAGACTTGCATTAATGTAATTCTAGTTGTTGCTACCTACTTAATCCTCTATAAATATGTTGTAAGAACTCATTTGAGATCAGATTGGCTTAATCAAAAGAGTTTATTTTCGAGCTAAAGCTTGCTCTCCTTTCGGTTTGTCCGATTGTCTCTCTTGGTGTGTCCGAGAGCCCTATCTTGGTATGTCCGAGATTACCCTTGGTTTGTCCGAGGTTTCTATCATTCTTTCGACCCATTCTCTATCCATCTCCATCTCTTTGGAAACGATTTCGAATTCGAGAGCCACTTCGTGAGCCGGTGATTGGAATCGTTTCACCATAAATCCACTTCGATTACCCCTTGTTCCTCCGTGAATTCGAGAGCCACTTCCGTGAGCCGGTGATTGCGGTTGAACTCCCCTGCCCCATCCTCCTCGTGCGTACATCACTAGTAGATATCAATCTACACCAGGTGAGGCTCACTGGATTGCGGTCAAGAACATCCTTAAGTACTTGAGAAGGACTAAGGATTTGTTCTTGGTATATGGCGGATTGGAAGACGAGCTCGCTATAAGTGGTTATACCGATGCTAGTTTCCAAACCGATAGAGATGACTTCAGATCGCAGTCAGGTTATGTTTTCTGCCTGAACGGTGGGGCTATCAGTTGGAAGAGTTCCAAACAGCCAACCGTTGCAGATTCGACTACAGAAGTCGAGTACATAGCTGCATCGGATGCAGCTAAGGAAGCTGTTTGGATCAGGAAATTCGTGGGAGACCTGGGCGTTATTCCTAGCATTGCAGATCCCATTGAGTTGTATTGTGACAACAATGGTGCGATTGTGCAAGCTAAGGAACCCCGGTCACACCAGAGATCCAAACACATACTCAGGCGATTTCACTTGATTAGAGAAATCATCGACAGAGGAGACGTGAAGATAAGCAGAGTGTCGACAGATGATAATATTGCCGACCCATTGACGAAGCCTCTCCCTTCGTCAAAACATGATGGTCATGTTAGGGGTATGGGGATTAGATGCTTGTAGGATAGATCATAGAGCATAGTGGGAGATTGTTGGTTGTAATGCTCTAGGATGATCCATGGTATGACATTTGACTTTGTATTGATTCATTGAGTTATGAATGCATTATATTTCCGTTATATGATTAGCATGTTTGTTGTATTTCGGTATTCTTGAATCATTATAGAATGATTCTAAACTCCCTGGTCAGTTATCATTGTGGGAACTATGATGAATTAAGACTAGCATGAGGTGTGATCGATGCATTGGATGCATTTCACAATCATGGGTACTCGTTGTGAACGAGTGACTGGATGACCCGCATGAGATTGTCGCATGGACAGAGTCATGACTTGAATCTCATAAAGCGGTTCGTTCTTAGATCCTCAGACTTGAGATGTCTAGAGTATCTGATATGAGGAGTGGCGTGTCTTGGCTGCGTCAAACGTCGTCTTTAACCGGATGATTATAACGGCGTTGATAAGATACGTTCACGAATCATATGGAGATAGTAGACATGCAATATGGGACTTGTCACCTCCTTAACAGGAGAGATACCGTTGGGCCCTCTCGTGGAAGTCGGACTATGAAAACGCGTGGCCACGCTATAGATGAAGTTGCATCTATTTTACTAGTCGATTTACCAAGACGAGAAAGCGGTTGAACTTGAAGGGTGGCTCAAACCATGCCCTTGTTCAACATATGATATCGTGAGACAAAGGATCAGAATTCGAGCTGTTAATGCCTTGGTTAGATCACCTCTAACTCAATTCTAAGTGGGTGGTCATGGCGTCTTGCTAGAGGCTAACCATGACTTGTGGTTCGGGAAAGGTTCCTAAAGTCACTACCACTTAGAATGGGCCTACAAGGTCACACACCAATAGGGATGGACTTATACGTGAAGAATCCGAAGAATGGAAACGAGATTTGACCGAAACAAGCATGAAAAGAAGTTTTCAGTGCGTTGGTCAGATCAGGCAGTCCGAAAGCTCAGTCCGAGGTCATCTGTCCAGGTCTGGTTCGGCTGACCAAGAGTTGGTCAGCCCCAGACCAGGCGCTGGAATCAGGCGGACCGAGTAGCGAATAGGCGGACCGAAAGAAGACCAGGAGACTTGGTCCGGAGCTGACCAATCTTGGTCAGCCGGACCAAGGCTCCAGGTCAGACGGTCCGAGGGCAGCTGAGTAAGCCTGGTCCGCCGGACCAAGCTCCTGGTCCGGCAGACCGAGATCCAGAAAGTTTCCATAATTCGATTTTAGGGTTTTCTAATCTTATTTAAGTTTGGGATTTCGTCCAAACTTAATTAAGGTCGACCTAAAAACTCAGAGAAACCTCCTAGAACCCTAGAGAACCTGTTCTCTTCGATTTCTATTGTCCCGGGATTGGATCTCGTCTCTTGAGTTACCCTTTTCTTCACTAATCCTAGCAGATTCGTTCCAAATCATTTGGAATCCTTCCCGTCGGTGTGGATACGTGTAGAGGAACTGTAACTTCAGTCCTAGGTGATTTAGAACAGGCCCCGGATCGAAATAAACTTCAAGTCTCATCGAGAATGAGGTAAGTAACGATTCCCTCGGTGATATACACGATCTTTCGGGTTTTGCGAGTTTGGTTGCGTGTGACGTTTGACTAGGTTTAGATTTTCTTCCGCTGCATGAAACCTAGTAAACCAAACCCTAGATCGATATGATCGCATGCTAGGAACCCGTAGATAACCCTAGTAAACTAAACCCTAGATCGATATGATCGCATGATAGGAACCCGTAGATAACCCCAACACGCCCACACATTCGGAGCACCACACTTCAGAGGCAGGGACATCCCGACCACCCGATGACTTGCCCCAGTCATATCCACCGCTATCCACAGCTCCGTTTCCAGAGCCAGACCTCCCACACCCATCACCGCCACCACCTACTTGTGCGCCGGACAACTACGGATATACATTCCAGCCACAGGATGACTTCCAGCGTTTCATGTATCAAGCGATGTTGGATACGAGGAGTTCGGTAGACAGGGCAGTGGTCGACATTAGGAGTTCGGTCGAGAGCGCTATAACGGACATGCGGAGCCATGTCGACTCCGAGATGACGAGGATGTACACCAGATGGTGCGGGACTTCATCCCAACTGTCTTATCAGATGTAGGCTCTCAGGCTACAGCACAATGCATTATACGGGGAGTTTCGCGGATTCCGCAACCGGTTATTTCAAGATGAGCAGCCACCAGTACCTTTCCATAGATGTGATGACAGGGTTAGCAAGCTCTTTGCCACTGCGCAAGGACACAGCGTTACAATGCTCTCGGGGGTTTGCTTCCGGGTTCCCGGAAAGTGATCCCTCAGGTCGCGAAGGGACAGAGGCAGCGAGTTGCGCTATCTGATTATCAACTAGCTTGAGATGGGCGTCGGTCTTCTGCTGATGTTCTCGCATCTCGGTGCGAATGGCTTCTTGACCCTGCATAAGTTGTGCAAGCATAGATTTGATGTCAGGGTCAGGACTTACCTGTGATTGAGATGGAGGCAGGCCGAAGTTTTGCTGAGGCTGACGGGGGGCTCGGTAGTGTTGAGGGGCTGGATTCTGATGCTGGTAGGCATTTCGGGGTTGAGATTGATTTCCTTGAGAGGAGCCCGGGATAGATGAACTAACCGAAATTATTGTGCTGTGCGTTTAGAGCGTTGGAGGAGTTCTTGTATGAAAAATTTGGGTGATTTCTCCAACCTGGGTTGTATGTGTTCGAGTACGGATTGTTGGCGACGTAGCTGACATCCTCATGCATGCACTCGTCTCGTGGTGCGTCCAGATCAGTGATTTGATGGACGTTTTCTACCTGCATTCTAAGTTTGGCAAGCTCTGCACATAAAGCATGTATTTCAGATGGACTTTCCTTACCTGTACGGTTGTCTTTAAAGCCAATATTTCTGACGAATTCGTGGGAAGGAGCGCACTCGTTAGCCATCTTAGTGATTTGTTGTTCGATGAAGTCAAAAGACTTCTCATTGAGGCTTCCTCCACAGGCAACCCGAATGAGGACTCGAGTATCTTCCTTTAGACCCTGCAAGAAAGTGGAGATAAGGTACCTCTTGTCCAAACCGTGATGAGGGCAGAGGCGCTGATATCCAAGAAAACGATCCCAAGTCTCGCGCAAAGATTCATCAGGTTCCTGCATAAAAGAGTTGATCTGTTGTTTCGCGAGCTGGGTTTTGCTAGCAGGGAAGAGTCGCTGCATGAACTTCTCTTGCATCTGATCCCAAGAGAAAACGGAGCCTGGTGGCAGTGTGTAGAACCATTCTAATGGAGCGTCCATTAGAGAGAATGGAAAGGCCATTAGCATAAGTGACTCATCGGTGACTCCTTGAACCGTCTTCACAGACTGACATAGCAGTTTGAATCGAGTTAGATGGGGAATTAGATCTTCATTAGGTCTACCCCTAAATGCTAACGAGCTGAGCATACTGATGAATGCCGGCTGAAATTCAAATTTATTGCGGTCGATATCGGGCCGGCGAATGCATGAGAGCTTTTTGAGTGTACTTGGGCTGAAGATACGCGCCGTAAGTATCATTGTCATTCTCGACAGCTAAAGCATGTTCCTCCATCTTCTTCTGTTGTTTCTTCTTCTTCCGAATGCGTTTAACGGATTTCTCGATTTCTGGATCAAAAGGGACTAGGTTGTCAAGCCCAGAGCTCCTGGTCATACACCGGAAAAACCTACACACCAGAAAAATAGGACAATGAACTAGAATAGATCAGGAACGGGATAAAAGTAACGAGAGAGGATCTAGATTCAAAGGAATCTCTATCCTAGCGCTAAACTATTCCCCGGCAACGGCGCCAAAAAATTTGATAACGCAAATCTAGGTGTATAAATAAGCTCAAGTAATAAAAAACCTAGATACAGCGAATACCGCAAGGATACGGATCAACTGTAGTACCAGGGTCGAACACAGGGAATAGTTAACTCTAGAAATAAGACTCAACCAAGAATTAGATCCGGAAATATGGAATGAAGTATGTGAATATCGAAAATAAAACAATGAACTAACTAAAGGAAATCAGATAGATAAATCACCGTAGCTTCGGGACAACCTTAACGCGCAGGGATTGTTTCTAAGGATGGAGAATCTACGAATATCGAACTCTAATCGGGGATCTCAAGTTCTAATATCAGATTTGGCTCTCTCAAGTCCTAACTCCACTATCCAATAATTTAACCTAGCGATCTCTCAACCTAATAGATTAAAATATCAAATGCATTATCAATCACTATCACAGTTCCTAAACCGATTAACCTATCTTTCAATAGTCTTAATCAATTCATTCAATGAATTCGTTCCGAATCTAATCTCAACTCTCGTTGCAAATCAGAATCTAAAATTAATCAATCAACTGGCCAAGAAGATCAAAAGCAATAAACTCAATTCAATTAAACCGCCCAGTATCGATAACGTAGTCTCGGAAAATAAAACCAAACAAATCCCTACAAAGTTAAATCTCTAGTTACAGTGAAACGACTACTCACTACCCATAACAACAAACGAGTTCAAATCAATAAGAAGAAACATAGAAACAGATAAAGAAGACTCGTAGCGATCTCTCGGCGACGATTCTTCAATCTCTACTTCCGGAAAACTCTGTCTTGATTCTCTCTCGAGTTCTCTGGCTTTTCCTGTGATCTCTCGATGATTTCTGAAGCCCAAGACGTCCTCTATTTATTTCTTTGGCGGTTAGGCTTCTTTCCATTCTGAAAACGGAAGTTCGGATGCAAAAATAGGAAGTTTTCTCGAAACGTAACACGGCCGTGTTGAGGTAGAACACGGTCCGTGTTAATTGTCTGATCAAAACTTATGCGCTTCTGCACGGGCTGGACACGGGCGAGTTGTGACTCGACACGGCCGTGTTTGATGTCGACACGGTCCGTGTCAATTGTCTGTAAGAATATCTTCATTTCCTTGCCTTTGCACGACCGTGTTTAAACTCGACACGGCCGTGTTCAAGTGCAACTCGAGCTGGAAATGCCTTAATCGTTCTGTTCTAGTCCAGTATGCTCCGAAGTCCTCGATTATGCTCCTCTGACGTCCATAGTGCGTCCATTACCTGTTCAATCACCAGAGAATGCAGAAGAAGCAAAACCCAGTGCTAAAATGATCCTAAATGTCTAATAATACACAAAACTGATGCGAAAGTGCTACACAATGGGCTTTGAAATAGATGAGAAAATCGTGTTATCATTCACCAAGCCCTAAATCAACTTTCAATTTCCTAACAAACCATGTCCATGTATCTTTATTTTCAATGCGAACGATAGCCCAAGCGATTGGGTAAATCCTGTTATCCGCATCTCGTCCAATGGCAGCAAGCAATCCCTAAACCATAAACCCTAAACCCTAAACATTCACGTTTTAATTTCTATTTTAAGAAACATCCATCCAATCCTATAATTGGACGACATCATTGCTTCCAAGTGTTACGCAATACGTTAAAACAAATGTAGAATTTGTCAAATACTTTTTCATAATTAACTTCTCTGCTAATCTCTATTGTCGTGTTCGGATTAAGTTCAGCTTCATAATCTCATGGCTTAGCGAATTATTCTTGTTGTCCTTCCATCAGTAACTTTGAGCACCTTGTCGATGTATACTCTGACTTAGACCGATCATCTTTCTCGATCTATCTCTATAGTTCTTGACGTGTAGAATATAGGCAACCTCACCTAAATCTTGCAAAGTAGGAATATTGTTTCCAATGAGCAAGATTGTTGGTTTAGTGCTCTATGATGTACTACTATATGGGCTTTATTTTGATACATTTGATGTATTGACACTTACTATGGTTATATGGATGAGTGTTTGATTCATTACATGTTATGCATACTTTAATATGTTATGAAATCCATGTATTGTTATAAACAATGCTAAACTCCCTAGTCATATATTGTGGTAGGAACAATAATGTACTAAGACTAGTATGATATGTGATAGATGATCATAAAGATGATCATGCGTATTGGATACGATCAAAATCATAGGTATTCATTGGAGAATGGAATACTGGAATGACCCGCATGAGATTGTCACATAGACTAGCATCATGACTTGAATCTCATGTGACGGTTCCATGATTGAATCCTATGACCTGAGATATCTACAGAATCCAATATGAGGAGTTGCGTACTTTGACCCAAGCAAGTTACACCATCTCTCAATGTGAATAAATCACCTATTTAATTTTTAGGTCCAAACAACATTCCCATATCTCTATGACCAATGTTGCTCTAAGTTCATTCAATCAAGGTTTTGTCAAGATCAAAAGCATGAAGAACAAAACATCAAACCAATGGAAACAAACATATATGTATCATGGTTTAAGCACAACCATCCATACAGAGTGGGGATCCCTCACACACAACTAGAGTTCTACTCTAGATTCAAGAAGAAAAACAAGAAAAAAGCAAAATAAAGCATAGTGAAGGGAGGAGAAAGCTCAATATGGTCTTCAATAGTGAATCATCTCTCTCTTCTTCTCCCAAGTTCCCAAACTTCCTCCCCAAGGGTGGCTCCCCTCCAAAGTGGCTAAAAGATCCCCTTCTCACTTCCCTCTTTCTTCCTTTATGATAGAAACCCTAGGACTTTCTCCTTTTCACTTTGTGGGCTTGAAAATGGCCCAAACTCCTCAATAATTTTCGTCAGGCATTTTTGGCAGCCTCCTTGTTCTTTAGGGCAAGAACCTGGAAATGCGTCGCATGTAAGTGCGACCGACAGTAAATAAGGGCGACCCTCTTGATATTTCTGAGAAATCTGGAGACTCGTTTCTGTTTAGGGCGACCTGCTCTCCTGGTAGGGCGGTAGCTCACTTTTGTTTCCATGTTTCGCATTCCATATTTTCCCCTGATTTTCTCACTTCTAGCTCCAAAAACTCCAACATTGCCGATCCATTGACGAAGCCTCTCCCTTCGTCGAAGCATGAGGGTCATGTTAGGGATATGGGCATTAGATGTTTAGCAGTTCATGATTAGAGCAAGTGGGAGATTGTTGGTTTAGTGCTCTATGATGTACTGATTATGAGTTTTGTTCAGATACATTCGATGTATTGATACTTTCTATATGTTTTTTATGAGAGTATTTTGTTCATTACATGTTCCTGCATGCTAGATCTGTTATGAAATCCATGTATCATTAGGAATGATACTAAACTCCCTAGTCTTGTGTCGTTATGGGAATAACGACATAATAAGACTAGTATGATGTGTGATTGATGATCACATAGATGATCATAGGTATTGGATACGATCACAATCATAGGTATTCGTTGCAGAACGGAATACTGGACTGACCCGCATGAGATTGTCACATGGACTAGCGTCATGACTTGAATCTCATATGACGGTTCCATGATTGGATCCTAAGACCTGAGATATCTACGGAATCCAACATGAGGAGTTGCGTGCTTTGAATACGTCTAACGTCCTGCGTAACAGGAGGATTATAAAGGCGTGTATCAGGTACGAAACGAATCATGTACTGGATTGTAGATAGTCAAGACGGGATTTGTACCTCTCGTAAAAGAGAGAGATATCGCTGGGCCCCTCGTGTGAGCGAGACTGTAGAAATGTGTGGCCGCACTATAGACGAACGTCGTCTATTTCAGACAGTCAAACTCAGTTAACGAGAAAGCAGTCGAATCAGATAAGGTGGCTTGTCCATGCCTTATGTTCGACATATGATATCGCGATACAAAAGGATCATCAGCCGGAATCATCACTGGTGTTCGTAAGATCACGAACCAACTCTATTCGAGATAGGTAGTCATAGTGTCTTGCTAGAGACCGCCTATGACTTGTATACCCGAAATAGGGATTTCAGGTTATACTGCTATGTCGAATGAGCCTACAGGGTCACACACGCAGGGAAGGACAAATGCACGAGAGAAAACGACGAAAAACCGAGACGGAAGGGGCTGGAACGGACGGACCAGAAAGTCCAGAACGGACGGTCCGCC